CTGAGCCCTTGAAATAATTATTTTTTAACAATTCCAAGCTCAAGTAAATATATATTAATTTATTCCAAAAACATTAATAATTTTTCTTTTCCTGGGAGGCACCAGATTTTTCTAACATCTGTACAAGGAGACCAGGTTCCAGGACTCAAACCTCCGAAGTAGGCAGATCTTCTCAGATACTCTGTTATAATGTAAAACCATGACTGAGCTTTGCCTACACTAAGTCTGACTATGCAGTTTCTAAGGACATCAGCCATTGCTTGCCCATAAAAATCCTCACAAGTACTCAAGTTGCAAGAGACAAATTAAGAAAAACAATAAAGAATGGAAAATGCAGCGGGGCATGGTGGACACGCCTGTAATCCCAGCATTTTGGAAGGCGGAGGCAGGTGGATCATGAGGTCAGGAAATGAAGGCCATCCTGGCTAACACTGAAACCCCATCTCTACTAAAAATATAACAGATTGGCTGGGCATGGTGGCACACACATCTAGCCCCAACTGCTCGGGAGGCTGAGGCAGGAGAATCACTTGAACCTGGGAGGTGGTGGTTGTAGTGAGCCACTGCAGTTCAGCCTGGCAATAGACTAAGAATCTGTCTCAAAAAAAAAAAAAAAAAAATGGAATGACGGGATAGCAATAAAATATAGACTTAATAGTTCCTCCCTTTCACACCAAGAAAAAGACACGTTTTGAGTTGATCTTGTTTAAAGCAGTGTTATCTCTTGTAAAGGGCCTTGCAGCTAAGCACTAACTGGTTTTCCAGTGCTGAAGAGAGTTAAGGCTTTACGAAATGTTTTGAACTCATGTTTAGCATGGACTTAAGAAGTGAGTAAGGTTGAGAATGAGAGCATGGTTTCCAAAGTTTCCCTCTGAATGGTGAAATGTCTGCTGAAGGGATTCAGAGCATGCCAATTCAACATAAAACTGTAGGAGACCAGAATATGCCACCCCAAAATATGCCTCTTTGGCATAAGGATTATTTTGAGCTGCTTATTTTGAGAAACGACAGACACAGGAGAAGCTCTGAAAACAAGAGTAGAAGTTACCTTTTTGTAAGAGAAATTTATATTTACAAAGGAAATCTCCATTTGTAAGGGTGTCTCCCAATCCATATCAGGAAGAGAAAGATGACTAAGTCATTAGACTCTCCTAGATGGAGAAGGCACTGACTTAAAGCTGCATAACACACCTTATCCTTGTTTATCATGCTTTCCTGACCATCTCACCCTAACCACAACTGACCTTTTGCCTATACCCTTTCCTTGCTTCAGGAAATGATCATATTTAAGCCTAAAGTTTCAACTACTTCTTGAGATCTACTCTAGACATCTGTTCTTGGAGATTTGATCTTTGAGAGTTCCCTCAGTATCTCCTATATATACAGGAGGCATACATTTTATCAAACTTCTGTTTGTTTTCTTTTGTTAATTTGTCTTTTGTTATAAGAAGTCCCAGTTAATAATTTCAGAGGTTATTGAAAAAATTATTTTTCCTTTTGTGCACTGCAGAAGCAAGAAATGAGGTCAGTCCAAAGGTGAACTAAGAAGGCACAAAAAGGGTTATATAAATGTCAGCCTCTGCCATTTCCCTGCGAGGGCCTCCTTCTGCAGTCTTGGGACAAAGGTGAGTCTCCTGAGTCTTGGAGCTGTGTTTCCACAGGCTCTTCTTATGTACATTTTTTTTGGGAAGAGACAGGATCTCCCTATGTCTCACAGGGTGGTCTCAAACTCCTGGGCTCAAAGGATCCTCCCACCTTTGCCTCCCAAAGTGCTGGGATTTCAGGCATGAGCCACCACACCTGGCCAGTACATCCTAACCCAACCCAAAATCTGTACAGTTCTGTCCACATGGTGCTACTGCCTGCTCTTGAGTCTCAGTGGGGGCTCACAAGGGAGTCTAGGCTCCAGACCGTCTTGGTCAGACTTGACTGAAGAAAACTGCAATGTAGGAGGGAAAGTTTGTAAGCTGTTTGCTAAAGATGACTGTCCCCATAATCCTAGGAAAGACTCCAAAATTAAACTTCTTATTGAGTCTCTTCAGACATTCTCCAGATCCTAACCTAGTTTTCTAACTCCTTGAGAAGGCACCACTCTCATAGAAAGCAAAGTACGTTAGCGTTAAGAGGCCAGGAAACCATATGGATTTTCAGTCTCGGCCCCCCTGTTTGTTAGTTGTACTGTAATCTCAGGGGGTGGAGAGGAGGCTTAAATTCTCTGTATTGGCTCATCCATATATAAAATGGGGACCATGATCCTATTGACTTCACAGGGATATTGTGAAGTTTAAATGAGTTAACTCAAATAAAACACTTAGAATAGTGCCTGGCACTAGTAAGTGCTAAACATTAGCTGTTAAGAAGCAGAGTGTGACTAAGAGCTGGATTCAAATCATTACATACCACTTACAAACTATGTGTCTTATGGCAAGTTACTGAACTTCTCTGTGCTCCTGTTACAGTATGTAGCTAGGCAGGCATGAACAGGGTATGAGAGGGCCCCACAACCCCCAAACAGGAATGTCAGGTGACCATCAGGTAATGATCAGGCAGTTTTTAACCATCTCTCTAAAATAATAATAATTGCAGATGGGCATGGTGGCTGACACTTGTAATCCCAGCACTTTGGGGGGCTGAAGTGGGTACATCACTTGAGGTCAGGAGTTTGAGACCAGCTTGGTAAACACAGTGAAACCTTGTTTCTACAAAACTACAAAAATTAGCCAGGTGTGGTGGTGGGCTCCTGTAATCCCAGCTACTCGGGAGGTTGAGGCAGGAGAATCACTGGAAGCCAGGAGATGGAGCTTACAGTGAGCTGAGATCATGCCACTGCACTCCAGCCTGGGTGACAAAGCCAGACTCCTTCTCAAAAAATAGTAATAATAAAATAATAGGTCACAGCTGGTGCCATGGAAAGACTGTCTCCCGAGAGGAAAAACCTGAAATTGGTCATCAGTAGCTTCCTGATAGTGAGAGAGGTCAGGCAAGCAGTTAGGGTGGGTCCTTGGCAAAATTCTTTCAAACAAATGAACAGCCTGAAAAATCAAGCTGTAGGCACAGATAAGGGAACTTGCAAAGCGGGGGCCTTGCCTAAGACATGTCCACGCCACATAGATAAGAAAGGCTACACAGGAGACGTGCCCAGACATGCTCACAATGGAAAATTCCATCCCCTGAGACATGCACCGTAAGGGGAACAAAGCAATATGGAGTAACTCAAGCTAAGGGCCTACATGCCCGCTAGGAGTGTGGGGTGGATCTACAGGAAATTCATGCCTTATGCAAATGAGATGCCCAGCCCTCGCTGGTTTCTTTTAAAAGCCTTTGTGTTCAGCTGTGAAATGGGATCCCTCTTTTGGGTCCCCTCTCCATGATAGAGAGTTTTCTTCTTTTGCTCATTAAACTCTCACATCCACCTCACCCTTGGTGTCCATGCTCCTTAACTTTCTTGGTTGTGTGACAAAGAACTTTGGGTAAACCTCAGACAGCAAGATTGCGACAATAAGATCTCAGGAATTGGGTGAGTGGGCTCACACATGCAAGCTAAGAAGCAAAATGGTGGAGTTAAACTGGTGTATGACCTCCTAGGGACATTTGGCTGTAAGAAGTGATCATGCATACAACTCCAGTAAACACACGGTGCCTGCTCCTCTCCCAATTACTAGCAGCCACTAGTACTTGTATCAATGAAAGCCCACGTCAAAAGGTCAAACCATGCACTTGATTTCTCAAGCCGCCTGTTTGGCCCTCTTGCAAGTGTACTTTTCTTTCTTTTCACTCCTGCTCTAGAGCTTTTTTTTCTTTTTTTTTGAGATGGAGTTTCACTCTGTCGCCCAGGGTGGAGTGCAACTACCTCCTCCCAGGTTCAAGCAATTCTCCTGCCTCAGCCCCACAAGTAGCTGGGATTACAGGCATGTGCTACCACGCCTGGCTAATTTTTGTATTTTTAGTAGATATGGGGTTTCTCCATGTTGGTCAGTCCAGTCTTGAACTCCTGACCTCAGGTAATCTGCCCTCCTTGGCCTCCCAAAGTGCTGGGATTACAGGCGTGATCCAGCCACTGCGTCCAGCCTAAAGCTTTTTAATGAACTTCCACTCCCACTCTAAAACTTGCCTTGGTCTCTTCTTCTGTCTTACGCCCCTCAGTTGAATTCTTTCTTCTGAGGAGGCAAGAACTGAGATTTCTGTAGACCCATAGGGATTTGCTGTTAGTAACACCCCCAGTTCCTCAACTTTGAAATTGGGAAATGGTAGAATCTCTAACTCACAGAGTTGTTGTGAGGATGGAAGAGTTAATATGTGTAAATTACTTCATATAGCACTGATTAAAAGTTTATGTTGTATCAAGTAATTATTACTACATTTATAATTATTAGTGCTGTTTTATTTTTATTTATTTATTTTTTCAAGGTGCCGTTAAGTATTAGTGCTGCTTTTATGTATACTTCCTTAGAGCAAGCCACCTTTAGGAAAACTCACCCCAGTGGGGAAGAAGAGATGGAAAGGAAACCTGTAAACTAAAAGAGACGTGAGAAAGATCAACAATTCACATCGTTTGAACCTTATTTGGATCCTGATTCAAACAACAAAATGTATTTAAAAAAACACACACACACACAAAAACAATCCAGGCTTGGTAGCCCCTGGGACACTGGTCAACTCAGCATTTTGGGAGGCCAAGGCAGGATAGTTCAAGGCTAGGAGTTCAAAACTAGCCTCATCAAAGTAGGAAGAAGACTCCCATCTCTACAAAAGAAAAATTTAAAAATTAGCTGGGCGTGGTGGTGCATGGCTGCTGGTAGTCCCAGCTGCTGGGGAGGCTGAGGTAACAGGATCACATAAGCCCATGAGTTTGCGGCTTCAGGGAGCTGGGATGGTGCCAATGCACTCCAACCTGGGCAACAGAGCAAGAACGGGTCTAAAAAACACAAAAAAACAGTTATAAGCTAACTGAAAATGCCTTAAGATACTTGCTGGTGTAGAGGAGGAAAAGTAACTTTCTACCCTTCTGAGTTCTTAATTGGAATGCACCCCTGTAACAAAGGAGATTAACAAGGGGAAAACAAACATCACTTTAGTAATATGTGTACCTTCCTGTCTCAACAAAAGAAATTTAAGCCCCTCTGAATTCAGTCTTAACTATTATCATCTGCTGAAACAAAGAAAGAACTGTGTTGGGACTACTTCTGGGGAGGTAACTGGGAAAAGCATGATAAACAAGGGTAAGGTTTGTTATGAAGGTTTAAGTCAGTGCCTTTCTCATTGACAAGAGTTTTTTTGTAATTTTGTCTTCCTCCACTTCCTGATATACAGGAGACACCCTTACAAATGGAGATTTGCTTCATAAATGTAAATCTCTCTTAACAAAACGGTAATTTCTACTTTCTTTTGAGAGCCTCACTTGTGGCTGCTATTTCTCAAAATAATCCTTATGCCAAAAAGGCGTATTGTGGAGTGGAATATCATGTCTTCTACAATGGTGTTGAGGAATTACTATTAAATTTTTTGGATAAGATGAGAATATTGTGGTCATGTAAAAGTCATTTTTTAGTAAAAAACGAAATCATATATGGCATAGAATTTTTTTTTTTTAGCATATAATTTTCTTGAACGTTATGTGGGTGGGGTGGGGGATGGGTTGTAGGAGATGTAAGTTTGTCCAAAGTTCGTGAATTGGTGATGAGAACACAGAGGTTCATTAACCTATTCTGTTTTGTTTTCTGTATGTCACAATTTTTGAAAATTAGGAGGAGGAAGAGAAACAAAAAGCGGAAGAGGAAGAAAAGAAAACTGTAAGAGGATCTTGTGTTAACCTAGGAGTTATCTAGCGCTTTCTGGAATCCGCGCAGTCAGTAGGAGCCAGCAATCTCCCACAGGACGTTTTCTAAAGTTTAAGTTACTATGTCAAAGCAGCATCATGAAACCTGCAGCCAGAGAGCCGAAGGTCGGCTTTGCCACCCTTTCAACCACCTCAAGTTTTTCCTGCCAGTGTGAGGTGAAGATACACTTTTGCATCCTCTCAGGGCATCCTCTAGGGTGTGTCTTTCGCACAGCACGATAACACACACGCGTGCATGTGCACACACGCATTTTCCAAGGACAAAAAGTAATGTTTCAGAAAGAGTAGAGTCAAAATTTGTTTTTCCATGTGCAAAATCTTTTCAGAGCGCCTTTTTCTCACAAAGGAGATAGTTCTCAATTGTCATTTTTATGCAGAAAGATGTTAGTTCCCTTTGTCCTCAGACTGTCCCTGAGATTTTCCACTGCATAAGAAATGGGGTCCATTCCAGAGCCATCCTCCAGTCTGTGGACTCCCTTAGGCTCACAAAGACCCAGAAAATACATTAATATTTAAGGTTTCTTTTCTGTTTCTTTTGCTACTTTGTCCAGGCCCCCACATCTTTCCAGTGTAGAGATTACAGGGATGCAGAAAGATGTGAAGGTTTAATCTCCTCTCCAAGTAAACCCCTGAGGTTGGGAAAGAGAGAACTGTGGGGGACACGGCATGGTGGGGGAGATAGTTTATTCTTTCATTCACAAGAAACATAATAGATATCACAGATTGTTAGATCTGAAAGGGCTTTAAAGATAATTCTACACCAACCCATTCAATTTTACACTGGAGACTGCTGCTTAGGCAGCCAAAGGGAGCATTTGCCTAACACAGGCCGCTTATAACACATATGTAAAGACTCCGCACAAAAACTTGTTAAAATAATTTAACATAATTAAAATGTTAAAAATGGAGTAAATATTCTCTTTTGATTTTTTATCACTAAATTACTTCCTTAGCCCCCACCTTTAAAAAACTGATTTTACGTACACTCAAATATTTATTATAACTTTTAATTTCAAAATTATCTGCCATTTCCTTGTTGCAGAAATCCTTGAGGCAAACATGCTGAAGGATGCGGCTTATCAAGGGTCAACCAGGGAGTGATCCACCCCCCAGGGTGGGCAATAAGAAGGAACCTCATCCACAGAAATTAAAAACTATAATAAAGCCAACGGAAGAGTTGGTCTGCTTTTCATTATCACCATTCTCTGCAATTCTAAACAATGTCACTGATAAAAGTGTCCTCCTCCCTGAAAAAAGTGTCTTGTTGGTCTAAATTCTAAACAATTGCTGCAGTTTCCATTGAGTTTTAACATATAAATAAGCTCCAAATTAGCACATTTTTATTACATTTCCTTTCATAAACATTGTATTCTAGTAGAAATGAATTCGGAGAACTCCCACTTACCCAATTAGCCTTCGACGCACATGAGTTCAGCGTCACAAGTCCGTTTTGATAGTAAGGCCTCTGACGCCTGTGGTCCTTCATATTTCTGCATTTAAAATTGTGATGAGTAGTAAATAATGATAGCACAACAATTTTAAAGATGAAGATAGCCGGGCATGGCAGCATGCACCTGTGTGATCCCAGCTACTCGGGAGGCCAAGACAGGAGAATCAGTTGAACCTGGGAGGTGGAGGTTGCAGTAAGCCAAGATCGTGCCATTGCACTCTAGCCTGGATGACTGAGTGAGACTCCGTCTCAATAAATAAACAACAAATAAATATGAAGAAACAGGACTTAAGTTACTTCAGTTCAGCCATTTGATGCAACCACTTTGTTTTTATTTTGTTAACTACAAATTTTGGTTTATATATGAAATATTTTATTGAATTTGAATACTATCTTTAAAGTAGAAACTTATTCTTTTTAAATTGTTTATTGCTTTAAAACTAAAAATAGGCTGGGCATGGTAGCTCGTGCCTTTAATCCCAGCACTTTGGAAGGCTGAGGTGGGCAGATCAGCTAAAGTCGGGAGTTTGAGACCAGCTTGGGGCCAAAGTGGTGAAACCCCTTATCTACTAAAACTACAAAAATTAGCTGGGTGTGGTGGTGTGAGCCTGTAATCCCAGCTACTCAGGAGGCTGAGTCAGAAGAATTGCTTGAACCCGGGAGGTGGAGGTTGGGGCAAGCCGAGATCATACCATTGCACTCCAGCCTAGGCAACAAGAGTGAAATTCTGTCTCAAAAAAAAAAAACAAACCTGAAAATACATTGAGAAAATAAAATATTACATCAGTGATACAGTTTAGTAATTACCTAAATACGTTTTACTGAAATTGTGGTTTTATTAAAATTTACTCATAGAAAGTTTTTACATAAAATCCTATTAGACTATAACCAAGAGATGAAAATTCAAACTACTAGATAGATATAACTTTCAAAATGACCAAAAATGTTGTTCTTATGTTGCTAGAAGAAATGAAAAGGGGAATGCTGTAATCCCATCATTTTCACCAAGACCTGGATGCTCACTCTAGGCAGTGGATCAGAGGATGCCAGTATTTGTAGCAATTCAGTCATTTTCTTGAGTATTTGCCAAGAAGAAAAACTTTTAAAATTTTCATGCCAGGCATGGTGGCTCATGATTGTAATTGTAGCACTTTGGAAGGCTGAGGCAGGTGGATCACTTGAGCCCGGAAGTTCAAGACCAGGCTGGACAACATGGTGAAACATCATAAAAAATACAAAAATTTAAGCAGGCATGGTGGGGTGTGCCTGTAGTCCCAGCTATTTAGGAGACTGAGGCAAGAGGATTTCTTGAACCAACAAGACCGGGGTCATAGTGGCTGCAGTGAGCCAAGATCTCACCACTGCACTTTAGCCTGGGAGACAGAGCAAGACCCTGTCTCAAAAAAATGGAAAAAAAAATACAGCTAATTTTTGTATTTGTAGTAGACAGGCTGGTCTCTAACTCCTGACCTCAAATATAAATAAAATCTATGATTAATTTTTTTTTTTTTTTTGAGATGGAGCATTGCTCTATTGCCAAGCTGGTGTGAGGTGGCGGGATCTTGGCTCCTACAACCTCCACCTCCCGGCTTCAAGTGATTCTCCTGCCTCAGCTTCCCAAGTAGCTGGGACTCCAGGCACGTGCTACCACACCTGGCTAATTTTTGTATTTTTAGTAGAGATGGAGTTTCACCATGTTAGCCAGGCCGGTCTCAAACTCCTGACTTTATGATTTGCCCACCTTGGCCTCCCAAAGTGCTGGGATTACAGGTGTGAGCCACCGCACCCAGCCGAATCTTCTGGAGGTCTTTTCTTGGGAAGTGACTGTGGAGACGCTTGAAAGCCATTAGAATCAATCCCAGAGAAACTAAGACATAGAAATTATTGCAGTTTCTGGCATTTACTGTGAAATGACAATTTTTGTAAATCTCTGATAAACTTATCCTTATTTTTAAGACTTTCCCTAACCATATCTGTTACTTCATATGAAATTAAAATCAATCAAAAGTATTCTATGATTAACTATGAATGAAGATAGACTGAGAAATCTGTTTTAAATACCTGGTAAGCATGAGTTTGCAAAGAAGATCAGTTTTCATAAAATCATTTACACATTAGGTGACTTTAGCAATAAATCCCACCACAGGGACCCAGAGCTGGAGAGGAATAGAATGGTGGTGGTAGTGGGGGCCAAAGGGAATTCTTCAAGACCTTAGAGAAAACAACACTTTATTTATTTATTTATTTTTGACACAGAGTTTTGCTCCAGGCTGGAGTGCAATGGTGCGATCTCAGCTCACTGCAACCTTCACCCAGGTTGAAGCAATTCTCCTGCCTCAGCCTCTGGAGTAGCTGGGATTACAGGTGCACACCACCACACCCAGCTACTTTTTGTATTTTTAGTAGACAGGCTGGTCTCTAACTCCTGACCTCAAGTGATCCACTTGTGTCGGCTTCCCAAAGTGCTGGGATTACTGGTGTTAGCCCCTGTGCCCGGCCTGAAAACAAAATATTTTAAATACATCTAGCTAAACCAACTAAGAATTTGAGGGGGCGGTGGGTTTTTCTGTACAGTGGTGAATAGGCTAGTGAAATATTGTTTCGTCAATGCTATCATGACTTTATTTTTATCACAGATTGATATGTCCTAGAGAAATGCTGATAACAGTAATTTTCTTTCTCTTGCCACAGAAAGAAGGCCCAAAGAGAAGGTCCTCCTAGAAAGCAGAAAGCTTTCCCCCTACCTTCCACCATGCCCACTGTCACAAGGATTTGCTGGGGCAAGTGTTTACTCATCTCGTAGGGAATCCACTCCTTTCTGCACAGGTGCAGAGCTTGCCAAATGCCACTGGGCTTCTGTCTTTCCTAAAAGGCCAGAATTCTTTAAGTCTCACTCCAGGCTTTCACATTATATCGATCACTTTTTTTTTTTTTCCGATATAGGGGCAATGGGACCTTTCCTTTCATCCTCTAAAGTTTGATCATTTGAGTCTCTGGAATAAACTTGACAGTAGACAGATTTACAGGAGAAAAGCATACAAATTAACACATGCATATACAAGGGGGTCCCACAGAGTAAAAGACTCAAAGAAGGGCCATATGGTTGAAACTTTTTTTTTTTTTTTTTTTTTGAGACAGATTCTCACTCTGACGCCCAGGCTGGAATGCAGTGGCATAATGTTGGCTCACTGCAACCTCTGTCTCTGGGTTTAAGCAATTCTCCTACCTCCACCTCCCAAGTAGCTGGGATTACAGGTATGTGCCACCACACCTGGCTAATTTTTTGTATTTTTATTTTTAGATGGAGTCTTGTACTGTCACCTAGGCTGTAGTGCAGTGGCACAATCTCGGCTCACTGCAGTCTCTGCCTCCTGAGTTCAAGCAATTCTCCTGCCTCAGCCTCCTGAGTAACTGGGACTACCTACTTGTGCCATCACGCCCAGCTATTTTTATTTTTTTGTATTTTTAGTAGAGACAGGGTTTCACCATGTTTGCCAGCCTGTTCTTGAACTCCTGAACTCAGGCCATCCACTTGCCTCGGACTCCCAAAGTCCTTGGATTACTATTGTGAGCCATCACTCCCAGCAAAGCTTTTTTTTTTTTTTTCCTTGAGATGGAGTCCTGCTCTGTCACCCAGGCTGGGGTATAGTGGCACAATCTCAGCTCACTGCAACCTTCGCCTCCCTGGTTCAAGCAATACTCGTGCCTCAGACTCCTGAGTATCTGGGATTACAGGCCCTGGCCACATGCTAATTTTTGTGTTTTTAGTAGAGATGGGGTTTCACCATGCTGGCCAGGCTGGTCTCGAACTGCTAGCCTCAGGTGATCCATCTGCCTCAACATCCCAAAGTGCTGTGATTACAGGCGTGAGCCACCACACCAGGCCTAGTTGAATCTTAAATGTGCATTTGAGCTACCAAAAGAAATAGGGACTGAAGCTTTTGGGAGGGAGGTGGTGACTCAAGAAATGGGAGGGTAAGGGGAAGAACTATACTGTGAATAAAGGTTGTTTTGTGATGCAGATAAAGTCTCAAGGGTAGCAACCTTCAGAAGAATAGGTAAAAAGTCTATCACCGGGCATGGTGGCGCATGTCTATAGTCCCAGCTATTCGGGAGGCTCAGGCTGGAGGATCTCTTGAGTCCAGGAGTTCTGGGCTGTAGTGCACTATGCTGATCAGGTGTCTGCACTAAGTTCAGCATCAATTTGGTGACCTCCCGGGAGCGGGGGACCAGCAGGTTGCCTAAGGAGGGGTGAAACGGCCCAGGTCAGAAATGGAGCAGATCAGAACTCCCGTGCTGATCAGTAGTGGGATCGTGCCTGTGAATAGCCACTGCACTCCAGCCTGGGCAACATAGCGAGACCCCCATCTCTTAAAAAAAAAAGTCTATCTGAGTGTGGAGACTTTTAGTTTCTTCTCCAGCTAGTTAATCTCTAGTTAATGTGGATTTCAGGGAGAGGGGTTCACACAATTATGTTCCTTCTGGAAGAACTTCCCTCCCTGCGTTTCAGGAGACAGAGATGGAGAGACAGGGGGACGAGAGAAGATCAAAGAGGCCTTAGTTCTGAAGCTGAATCTTTAGTTCAAAGTACTCAGCATATCAAAGTATCATACTTTGGGGTATCATTTTCTGAGCCCCAACACCAATGTCTTTCCAAATATTTTCAAAATCTCATGGTTCTTGAGAGTATAACACATGTAAAGTCCATCTACCTTGTGGCCCCACCTTAGCAAGGAAACACTAGTCATTAGTTCAGTCTCCAAAATGTGTTGAACATCAGTTAACACCATTCTGTAGATTTTTAAGGAAAATGACTCAGGAGTTGGGATTATATTAATAACACTCAGTAAATGTTTTAAAATTATCTTGCCGGGCACCTATAATCCCAGCACTTTGGGAGGCCGAGGCGGATGGATCACTAGATCAAGATATCGAGACCATCCTGGTCAACATGGTGAAACCCCATCTCTACAAAAAATACAAAAAAATTAGCTGGGCATGGTGGCGCAGCCTGTAGTCCCAGCTGCTCGGGAGGCTGAGGTAGGAGAATTGCTTGAACCCAGGAGGTGAAGGTTGTGGTGAGCCAAGATGGTGCCATTGCCCTCCAGACTGGGTAATAAGAGCAAAACACTCCGTCTCAAAAAAAAAAACCATTTCTTTCCATAACTCTCCATTTCCCATATATATTCCAGCTGCTCCCCAAATCTTTCATTTCCTCGTTCTCCAAACTCTGCCTGCCAATTTCTCCCCAAATCCAGGGCCTACTAACTTTGGTAACATCTTCCTGCCTTTTGCCATATTCCAGAGCTATTCACTTCTGTGTGACTGTACCTCCAGCTTTCCCAGTCAAGCAGCTGTGGTATTCTCCTTGCTCAAATCCATGAATTCGCACTCGACCCTGGGAAATAATGTCTGCCACAAAAGGAATTCCATCTTAGAAGGGGAGAGGTGATATGAGCTCCCGTATATTAATATCTCTATCTGTTCAAGAGCTTCTCTATTTTTTGTGTGTTAGGTATAAATCCGTCTGTGACCAAGGAGTTGATTCAAATCCTGGTGTGTGAGGAGAGAATCTTCCAGTATTTGAGGACAAGAGAAGCCAAATTTTATGGTGATTTACATGTAGCAATTGAAGACCAGCAAGGGAGAAGACTTATTTTTCTGTTTTTGGTGTGTGTAACTTATTTCCATTTATACTGTTTTGAAGACGGGTTGGGAGGAGGAGAGTGAAGAATTAAAAGCCCTGTGTTAGAGGAATCTGTATGTGCAGTTTCCTTATTACCTGTATGTGTCATCCTCAGGGATGCTGCATGGCCTGGTGAAAGAACACAGGCTTTGGAACTAGATATTCATATATTTATACTTAAGCTTGAATCCCATCTCAGTTACTTTTTTGAATCCCATCTCAGTTACATTCTGTAAATTCTGAGTACAATTTACAGCATGACAGTTATTATGAGGGGCACAAAGGAAGCATTGTCATCTGTAAATGAACATAAGAGCTGTTTTGCAATACTATTGTGAGGACTAATGAAATAATTTTGTAAAATGCTTAATATAGTACCTGTCATATAATAATATTTAATCATGGTAATCTGCAATAGTAATAATCATGGTAAATTATGTTAATAATAGCATTGAGGATGGGCATGGTGGTTTACACCTGTAATTCCAATGCTTTGGGAGGCCAAGAAGGGAGGATTGCTTGAGGCTAGGAGTTCAAGACCAGCCTGGCCAACATAGCAAGGCCCTGTTCCTACAAACAAACAAACAAAAAACTTAGCCGGGGCCGGGTGTAAGTGGCTCATGGCTGTGATCCCAGCACTTTGGGAGGCCAAGACAGGTGGATAGAGAGGTCAGGGGTTCAAGACCAGCCTGGCCAAGATGGTGAAACCCTATCTAGACTAAAAAGTAGCTGGGCGAGGTGGGAGGTACCTGTAATCCCAGCTACATGGGAGGCTGAGACAGGAGAATCTCTTGAACCTGAATGGCAGTTGTTGCAGCCAAGATTGTGCCACTGTACTCCAGCCTGGGCAACAGAGCAAGACTCCATCTCAAAACAAACAAACAAACTGAGCCAGGTGTGGTGGTGTGTGCCTGTAGTCCTAGGCTAAGGCAGGAGGATCATTTGAGTCTGGGAGTTGAGGCTGCAGTGAGCTATGATCACACCACTGCACTCCAGCATGGGTGAGAGAGTGAGACTCTGTCTCTAAATGAGAAAGACCAATAGGTTTTTTTTTCAAACTGGAGTCGGAGGGCTTCTGTCAAAATTTTCTGTTTCTAACTTCTTTGCTTGTTTTTTTTTTTTAAATATATTTTATTTTTAAAATAAAGACAAGCAGCTGGGTGTGGTGGCTCACGCCTGTAATCCCAGCACTTTGGGAGGTTGAGGCGGGTGGATCACAAGGTCAGGGGTTCAAGACCAGCCTGACCAAAATGGTGAAACCCGGTCTCTACTTAAAAATACAAAAATTAGCTGGATGTGGTGGTACACACCTGTATCCCCACCTACTTGGGAGGCTGAGGCAGGAGAGAATTGCTTGAACCTGGGAGGCAGAGGTTGCAGTGAGCCGAGAGCATGCCATTGCACTCCAGCCTGGGCAACAGAGCGAGACTCCATCTCAAAAAAAAAGGCTGGGTGCGGTGGCTCATGCCTATAATCCCAGAACTTTGGGAGGCTGAGGCGGGTGGATCACGAGGTCAAGAGATCAAGACCCTCCTGTTCAACAAGGTGAAACACCATTTCTACTGAAAATACAAAAATTAGCTGGGCATGGTGGCGCGCTCCTGTAGTCCCAGCTACTCGGGAGGTGGAGGCAGAAGAATTGCTTGAACCCAGGAGGTGGAGGTTGTGGTGAGCCGAGATCGCGCCATTGCACTCCAGCCTGGGTAACAAGAGTGAAACTCCATCTCAAAAAAACAAACAAAAAATAGAGACAAGGTCAGCCAGGCACGGTGGCTTATGCCTATAATCCCAGAACTTTGGGAGGCCAAGGCAGGTGGATCACCTGAGGTCAGAAGTTTGAGACCAGCCTGACCAACCTGGTGAAACCCCATCTCTGCTAAAAATACAAAAAAATTAATTAGCTGGGCATGGTGGCATGGCATGCACTTGTCATCTAAGCTACTTGGGAGGCTGAGGCAGGGAAATCACTTGAACCAGGGAGGCAGAGGTTGCAGTGAGCCAAGATCACACCATTGCACTCCAGCCTGGGTGACAGAGGGAGACTGTCTAAAAAAAACATACAGATAGGTCTTGTTCTGTTGCCCACACTGGCCTC